AAAAAAAAAAAAGAAAGAAAGAAAGAAAAAAGAAAATGTGCAAGTGAAATAAGTGACAAAAAGCAAACACAAGATATTCTGTCCATATGAACCAGTGCCAGGCGACTCTTGTATTTGTAGATTGACAGAAGCTGGAGGTGAAGTTAAAGAGGTACAAACTCAGTATAACATTCATTGCCTCTTTTGCTAAAGTTGTTTCACTGCGTAAGAAAAAGATACTGTCAGGCTGGATGCAGTGACTCAAGCCTGTAATCCCAGCACTTTGGGAGGTGAGGTGGGTGGACCACCTGAGGGCGGGAATTTGAGACCAGCCTGGCCAACATGGTAAAATTCCGTCTCTACTAAAAATAAAAAAATTAGCCAGGCATGGTGGTGGGCACCAGTAATCCCAGCTACTTGGGAGGCTGAGGCAGGAGAATCACTTGAACCTGGGAGGCGGAGGTTGCAGTGAGCGGAGATCACGCCATTGCACTCCAGCCTGGGTGACAAGAGGGAAACCCCATCTCAAAAAAATAAAATAAAAAAAGAAAAAGAAGGAAAAAAAGAGAAAGAGATACTGGTTCCATGTTCTGTTCCAGTTATGCAAAACAACGTGTTGACGTGCAGGCTGCACAGTGCCAGGTGCAAATACACACTGCCTGTTACGGTAACTGTGACAAGCACAAGGGCTGCCCACCAGCTTGAGTGCAACTTCTGGGGAATTGATGGGAGTGATTTATGGGTACTTCCTTCTTAACAAATTTTACATCAATACTGCAACACAACAATCTCAGCCCTGTGGGCTATACCATAGCCACATGCTTTCACCATTTCCTGCCCATAGGGAGAGCCCAGGAACTGAATGCTGTTAATCAGGGAGAGCGTAGAAACAGCAGCAGAACAGCTGGAGAACCAGGGCTGTGTGGTTTTGGACTGTGGGGAGGGTGGGCCACGGGCAGACTTGACACAATGTGGTAGGGCATTTGACACAGCCCCGTGGAGGACCTAATGCTTGGGGAGGCCCTCATCCAGCACAGTGAGCCATGTCGACACTTGGTGCCTGAGCGTGCTGCTCACAGCGCTCTCCCTGTGATTTTCCCCATAGCAGTATGTTTTTTCTGCTGGGCAGAAGGCAGAGAAACCCTGGCTGAAAAAGCAGCGAGGGTCATCGGCTGCATGAACACATCCTCAGCTTTTCCCGATGGAGGCACCCAAGTTTACCCTGCACATCCATTCAGCAGGTAGAGCTGGGTCATCCCTAAACAGGATCTTTCTTCTGAGCACCTGAGATTCTGGTCCAAATTAGGGCTGTGAGGACCAGGAGCCGGGATTCTGAACCCAGGCAGCCCTGTGGGTAAGGAGGAGGGAGTGTGTTGGAAGGCTGTATGGCCAGAGCTGCTGACTGGGCTGGGGCTTCTTTGTCCCCTCTTCTCTCCTGCACATCAGCACTCACGTTCTCCTGGCTCGGGCTGGCCTGGCAGCTCAGGGAGCTGTTGGATGAAACGTCCATGCTTGTGGCTGTGACCGTCACGTGCAACTGCGAGGACGGTCGGCTCCCAAAGCGGAACCGCGGTGCTGGGCGAAGGGTCAGGGCTCCGTGATGCGGCAGAGCGTGTGCCAGCGCTTCACCAGCTCCTTGGGCTTGCTGAGCATCTCGTCCCAGTGCTCCAGCTCTCTGCCACGGGTGTACATGTAGGGGCCCACCACCACTCGGCCCAGCTGCTGGCTCTCTGCAGGGGAGGGAGAGCACCGGTGTGTTCCTGAGCACAGAAGTCAGGTCCCCAGTGACCTCCCTTCCTCCCTCCTCCTCCCCAGGAGGAAGTAGTAACTTCCCTCCTCTCTGAGTGGGAGCTGACAGCCCCCAAAGGGGCCCTGCCTTTGCTCTGCGGCTGGAAGGGCTGCTTCTCCCCCTGGGAGATTGCGAGGAAGGAGAGCCCTGAAAGAGACTCTCTCTTTGAGGGCCACCAGCTCTGGCCCACACCCCTCTGTAGGGCCATATTAAGTCTACCTTATGCCAAAGAACTGAGGGAGGAAAGAGCCCCTCTAGAAAGAAGGCCTCAGCCGGCCGTCAGAGAGTAAGTACGTTCAGCAGTAACGTTCACTGGCCACCATGGAGAAGGGTCTTAAGTCCAGGCCATTTGGCCAGCCGTGGCCTGATGGCTCTGTTTCCCCAGAGTGGCGGTGGGTGCTGTGGGGTGGGGTAGTGTGGGAGAGCTGGCTGACAGAACTCGCCCAGAACCCCAAAGGCTCATCTAGAGGGCACGAGGAAGCTCAGAGCACCAGGTCCCTGGGCTAGTGGCAGCGCTGCTCCCTCCCACTCTCTCGGGTGATTTATTCCAGGAGGGGGCAGCAGAGGCCATTGCTTAACCTCTTTCTTTTTCTTTTCTTTTCTTTTCCTTTTTTCTTTTCTTTT